TTTATTAATCCTGCAATAAACACTAGTGACAAAAAAAATCTTTTACATCTGAGGGGGTCCCAAAAAAAGGGGGTCCCACAAAAAAGGGGGTCCCCCAAAAAAGGGGTCCCCAAAAAAGAGGGGTCCCCAAAAAGGGGGTTGTCCTAAAAAGGGGGTGCCCCAAAAAAGGGGGGTCCCCAAAATACACCCCCCCCCAAAAAAAGAATGGCAAAATCAGTGCCAATTGGGTCCAGTCACGTGCATAGTACAGGTGGAAAAAAGGGGGACAGAACAAAAGGTGTGAGCGATAACAGCGGCCGTACAAAGGGTGACGCGCGTTAGCCAGCCGCGTGCCAGTTTTGGGGTCACAGGCGCACGCTAGCAAAAGGTGCTCCCGTGATTCAAAAGGTAAATGTAAACACAAAAGGTGCGGCCGACGTTATCTCCACTCTATGACAACATCAGGAAGGCACGGAGCTTTTTTTTTGCTCGACCCCCCTCCCCCCCAACCGGAGAAGCGCAGGGAACGTCCTTTCTCATAGCGTGACACCGTTTTTCAAAGCTGTCGCAATCCCACCATGGAGAGAGAGAGAGAGAATGAAAGTTTTGAGCAGACACAGGCAGATTTCATCCTTTCAAGTAAAAATAAAAAAGGAGGAGGGCATAAAAACAAAGGATTGGGGGATTTCAATGGCACACACAGAATACAAACAGCAACAGCCTTGAAGAATGGAATAAAAGAGTTCAATTACAATGCCGAGATTTCAGGAGCAGACGCAGGAACAGCTCCTCCCTGTTTAATACAAGTTCCTTCTGCTTAACATTGATCGGCAGAGGTGCCTACATAGAAACGGATTACCACACTTGCTGAAAAGGTGCCAATGGAAAAAGAGGTCACGGCGACATACGACCCCAAAACCTTGTCGCTCTGTGCTAAAAACGTCTGCGGAGGAAAGAGTGACACAAATCCGACATAAAGACCACCGCTGAGACAATAAAGAGATTTTCCTGTATGCAGTTTACTCGGAGGAACAAATGCCGGGTTATCAGTGACACAGAAACAGACCAACAACCTTTTTTGGGGGCTTTATGCTTTAAATGGCGGCAACGGAAAGGGTTAGGACGTACAAGACACGAATGAACGCGGTTTAATAACATTTCAGAATGCACACAGTTTACTCTGAGGAACAAATAACGGGTTACCAGTGACACAGAAACATCTCTGCAGCCCAAACCAAAATTTTGAGGCTTTCACCCTAAAACTTGCTTCAATGGAAAGTGTTAGGTACAAGTCAGAACAAAGTCCAAATCCCATCCGCACTGCCACGGTCTCAAAACCACAAGGTATATGTGGTGCCCAGGTGACCAAACGGATGGCGCCGTGCAAAACACTAATAGTAAATAAAAGTAATTCACAGGCACACACTTGAAGGGTTTTTAAAGTATTGATATGTTTATTCAATATCCAATGTCACATACTGTCATACAGTGCTAACGTTTCGGGTCCACACAGGGATCCTTCATCAGAGCGACAGTGACACGATGTGACATTGGGTATTGAATAAACATATCAATACTTTAAAAACCCTTCAAGTGTGTGCCGGTGAATTACTTTTATTTACGTTTAGGTACAAGTCAGAGACGTCTGCCTTTGCACAGTTTACTCTGATGAAGAGATGAACATATGATGAACATACATGAACATATGATAAACATACATGAACATATGATGAACATACATAGAACCCAAAACCTTGTCTGGCCGCTGCTCAGAGCAGCTTCACTGGAAAGAGTTACATACACCGCCCATAAAGATCAGCTTTATAAAATAAATATGAACGCATGCAATTTACCACCATGAATATACGCTTCTTATCACTGACAATCAGAAACCTAAAACACAATTCAAAACATTGTTCTCGGCTTTGTTTCTGCTTAAAGCAGCTTCCACAGAAAGGAGTAAGATACAAGAGCCCTAAAGACCCACGCTTCACTTACATGAACGTTTTACAATGCACATGGTTTATGATGATAGGCAGATGCGCGGTAACAGTGACACGATTTATGATGATAGACAGATGCGGGGTAACAGTGACACGGTTTATGATGATAGGCAGATGCGGGGTAACAGTGACACGGTTTATGATGATAGACAGATGCGGGGTAACAGTGTTGGATGATCCGACACTCCCGGCGCAGAGATGAGGGGGCCCGCCGGCCACCTCATACTGTGGAGGGAGCCGAGAATAAAAAAAGCCGGCAGGCACTTCAGTGGGCAGCCCTGGGTCTCGGCCGTGAGGACCCAACAAGCAGCCGCCTGAACACACGGGCCCCCTGTCTGAGATGGACACACACACACTGGGGTGGTTTTCTGCAGCCTCCCCCACCAGATAACAGCCAGAAGAGGTGAAGGTAAGTTATTAAATAAAATCATTATTGTTTGTAGCCCAATCGATGGCAATGCTGTATAAAGTACTGCTGGTATTTGTAGTCATATATAGCAGCAATGCAGAATGCCACCCTCTATAGAGGACTACAAATCTCAGCAGTTCTTTATACAGCATTGCCATTTTTACAACTTTTTTTGTGTGTGGTTGCTACAGGGGATGTGGGTTGGGGGGCTTGTGTTTTGGTTTTTTTTTGGGGGGGGGGGGGGGAGGGGGGCCCGAAAAAAAATCTTGCACCAGGGCCCTTTGTTCCCTAGGTCCGCCACTGCTCGGAGCATTGGAGAGAAGAACGCCAAAAGCCTGCCGGAGCGAGGAATAATGTAACAGTTACAGCTTATCCTCCTACCCCGAGACTTAATGAGACACTAACCCTTACTATGCCGGGGGGGAGGAAGGGGCACTGCAAGGGTATTTTTTTACAAAAAGCCCAGAGTTCAGCGTTAAGGTCAACTGTCATTGACCACTGCTTACCCACAGAGAGAAAAGGTCCCTCTCTGCAGCATTCTGGCAGGGGACAAGCTTTTCTACTCAGGCTGTGGTTACTTTCTAAAGAAACTTTACAATTGCTGACACACAGGGTATAGGGGTGTATATGTCTGTAAGTGTCACTGATCATATGTTGCATTTTCACTGCTAAGACGCCAAAAGATTCGCTGCATCTGTGTTTGAGCAGTCAGCGCTGTTCACTCAACATCCGAATTTCCAGTTTGGTAATATAGAACCCAGAGGCGTAACTAGAGACCTCAGGGCCCCGGTGCAAGAAACCATTAAGGCCCCACCCAAAAAATGTTGATGCCTTTTTTTTTCTATTAAATAAATAGTATGTTTGTTTTAACTTTCAGGGCTAGTTCACACCAGCTCCAGTGTGTTCCGGCCGATTTAGTGCTGGAACACACTGGTATGGATCCCGCCCAGCTCACTGCGTTCTGGGGTGGGAGGGGGCGTGGCGGTGCATTAAAGTCAATGGCACCGCGGTGCGATCGCCTGCACCGGAACGCATGGCAAATCAATGCCTGCGTTCCGTTGCGGTCAATAAAAATAGTGCATGCAAATAGAGTTCCCTGACTGGCCACCCCCAACTACAGCGTCTTCCCCATCCCTCTGTCTGAACTGCGGTCCACAAGTGTCAAAAACACTGCGTGTGGCGGGCCCTCTTCTTTCTCGTTGGGCTCCCCCCAACTAGCCGAATACCAGGGCCCGGACGCAAATGCGACCGCTGTGACCCTGGTAATTTTGCTTGCACTTAGTATGGGGCATTTTCACAAGTACATGTGAATAAACCCAATATTGGCACTGGTGCATCCCAACTTACTAATGTAATGTATTGCTGGGACTTGTAGTCCTGCATAGCTGGTGGTATTCTGCATTGCTGTAATGATTATACAGTTTACTTGTCAAATGCCCTGTTTTTACAGGGGGTCGGGGGGGGGCGCAAAAATGCACCTTGCCTGTGTAGGCAAGAATCCTAGCACCCAACCCCACGGAACATGGAGTTCCGTGCGCCGGGCGGTTATTTATTTTCTACATTTAGCCGGGCTTTGCACAAGTTGGGCTAAATGAAGAATGGGGAAAGCCGCTTGTTTCTTTACAAGTGATCTCGGCGATGTCGCCAAGATCACTTGTAATAACACTGCAGGCTGTCCGACCTCCCCCCGCCACTACCTCTCTCCATGCCTCATCCTTTCGGCTCCGTTTCCCGGCTCCATCCTCTCCTCGCTGGCCGCCGCTTTCCTCAGGATGGAGAGCGGTGATCAGAGCGGCAGGGTTAAAAGTAGCCCTGCTGCTCCATGTATACAGTGAGAGGGGAGAGCTGGGGGGTTGGGGGGGCGCATTGCGGGAACTGGCCTTGTGGCGACAGGCAGGGTAAATCCGGTCCTGCACACACAACTTACTGGCACACAGAAGGGTGGTTCTATAGAACCCTGCAATTGGAAAGGAGCCACCCTACAACAGGATATCAGGGTCAGTGTTCAGGGGATCAGCTGATTTTGCAAGAAGCTGAAACTTTTTAACATCAAGGAGCAGCAACCATTGTAAGTGATTTCATCAACATTTGAAGTATCTTGAAACCTTTGGACTTTAATATCACTCTAATCTTTCTTATTCACAGATAGAAGAATATAGTTGTGTTCTGTCCCTGAGATGTATCTTCATATACATTAATGTAACCACCTTTTAGGAAGGTAACTACATTACAGTAGGAATTATGGAATATTAATGATACTTATTTCCTATGCTCCTCATCTCCCCCTAGTGACAATTATGTGGTATTGTATTACATTACATTCAACCTGAAAAGTGAATTAAAAATATACTTAAAACACTTGTTTTCTTCTCTATTCGCACAGAATGAACGTTCACAGAGATTCGCAGGGTGAATAGCTCTGTGAATTGTTTATAAATAGACCCCTTAGACATGAACACAGCAGTTTTTGTTTTTCTGAGTAACACAGTTTTATTATTTTTAGATCCATTATTTTACAACTACAACTACAAGGTGTGCAGTAGAAAACATCCTCCTCCAGACAACTAGGAAAACATAGACGTGTCACAGTTACGGAGGTCTTGAGGATATGTTTCCTATAGACATGACAATTTATGAACTTTAGAATTCCTTCTGCTCTGTACTTCTGAGGTTTACCAGCAGACATCATTCTCAGTCATGGTGCCATTGTAGACTTCCACCTCGCATAGGGTCAAGCATTCACTGCGCCCCGGGATCACCGTGCTGACGTATCGACCCGCCAACCCATTACAGCAGAAAGTTGTTGTGATAATATTATAGTTGGTGATCGTACCGCACCTGCCAAGGACAAGAAAAGACCAACACAATGATACAGAAAATGGAACCCGTTCACTTGGGGGAGATTCACAAAATGGGCCCATAGAAAACATACACTGCTATGCGGCTTAATAAAACATAAACATTTATAATAACTAGGCAACAGAGATGAGCGGAGTGACTGCGGGGAAACTTACTAAACTCACTGTTAAACCATACCCGTTTTATGGCAAAAGCAAACCAAAGCCAGGACAGTCTGTGTGCTATCATAATTGGTTCCTAGCAACTGTTCTATATTAGGTGCTTAAATGCAGACAGGCCTAGCCTAACAAACCAATGTTGCTATGGTTCTGCCTGTGTCTTAGCAACTAGCATAATTGGGTGCTAAGATGTCGGCAGCTCCACAGCATCATAGGTTGTCATAGTTCACCCGCCTGCATCCTAGCAACCACTGATGCCATGTGGCTCAGCCACCAGTCAACCAATGGCATTAGACGGGTCACACAGCATCATTGGTTGCTAGGACAAAGACAGATGTGTGGTAGGTGGACAAGCTGGGCAAACTGTTCACCCATTCTTCAAACTGCCAACAGCCTGGGTTCAGGGTTGCGCTCATAGTTGACCCGAAACTCATCCCTATTCACCATAGTGCATGTGTATGCATGCTTAAAGGTGGGCCGCACTCACTTTGTCTGGTGAGCACCACGTACCCCCAGTCTAATTTTATATTTAACAACGTCTTTGTTATCAAAAGCTTGCCCTGTGGGTAAAATCCAGACATGTATTGTTTCCCATTTTGGGTTCAAGGTGGCACTGGAGGCCTACCACTTTTAAGACCTATGTTGATGACCTTTAGTTCACAGCAGATGAATTTTGTATTCTGAAACAAGTCAATTAAATGGAATACGGGTCAGAAGAAGGTCAAATGCAGATCAAATGCATCTGTCAATGAATTCTGAATCATCTGAGAAGCATTTCAAGCTGGTAACATTAACACAAGCCCAAAGCTCACTAACACCAGCCCTTACAGTGTCCTGGCCCTGATGTACTCACAGCGGGTTGTTATTGTCCGGAGAATCACCAATTCGGACCTCGAGATCCTTCAACCGTTCCAAAAATCTGTCTGACCTGGCATAGACTTTAATAACATACACGCTCTGTTTCTGTTTCAGGTCCAGTCTCCACCAGGGTTCCCAGTCTTCATTTGTGGCGGTACAGGAATTATGATTCCAGTCCTGATCTTTCCTGCCATCAATGGCATTGCTAGCAACACTACTTACACCTGAGACGTAAGTAGAACTCTGCGTGGCTTCCCCGCTTCTGGCGATATTGACGGCTGAAGAAAGAAACACAAAACACACTCCATGATTATACATATAATGTTCTTCCATTGTTCTAAAGACGTCTTCATCAGGAAATAGACTGTAAGCTGCAACGTTGTCAGTAATTTGCTGGAACATTCTGTAATGTAATGAATTGCTGATGTCATTCTGTGATGTCGTTATACAATAACTAATATTAATCGCTAAAACTCCATCTATACCCAGAACTTATAGAATGTCAGGGCCACAAATATAATGAAGTGGCCCCATGGGATTGTGTCATCCCCTGCACCCACTTAATTCAATTAAATTATTATTTTAATCCAACAATAGTTTTAGTCACGATAAGGTACAGTCTTCTGGAATTTTCCGTTGGGCTGTTTCTGGTTTCCCATTTGTCTGTTTCCAGGTGCCCTTAATAGTGTCATGTCAATTCTGCCTGGAGATGGCTGTCGCTAGGAAGATCTTTGGAAATAAGGTGGTCGTGATTAGTTACCTAAGTTTTGGAGGGAAAAGTAAACAACCAATCAGTTGTGGGACTCACCTTTAAATGTTTACGGTCAGAAGCTCTCTTCAGCAGTGATCGTCTGCAACACAACTTGCCTGAGGATGGATTCTTTGCTCCACGAAGTGCTTCGTCGTGCCTCCGCTGAAGGGGGTGAAGACTGGCTGCGTTCCTGCTTGGGCTCTCTGCCGCCCATGAATGTGCCCAGCGCCTTTCCTGTGACTGACCACTTGCATCCTGCCTTACATCCAACTGATGTTCATCCTCCTCCGCCCGCCGGAGCTCCCCCTCCCTTTTCAACAGAATGGCCACCTGCATTTGGATCCCTGTCAGCGGCTGTGACTGTACCTGTCCCTTCTGTGTCTGCCACTACCGCCTCGGCTGGAGCCTCCGACATCCGCCGTGATCAAGCTGTGTCAAGCGCCCCTGCGTCTGCCTCCCGGAACCTTCGGTCCTCCCGATCGGCCTCGCGGATTTCGGCAGCTCGTGTGTCCCCAGCTGCATCTGGACCGGAACTGGAAGCCCGTCGCATACAGTCACCGGAAGTGAGTCACCAGGCCGGGCCGGAAGTGCGTCATCGCCGCAACCCGGAAGTCGCCTCTTCATTAGACCGCGGGGTGGACGACGTCGATCCCCCTGCCAAGAGGGCCCGGAGGCCCAGAAGACCTTATTCGC